CCAGACTGTCCCCCCACCTTGGGACCCACCCCAGGGCCACTCTCCTCACACACCCATTGGCACCTGGGTGCTCAGCCCAGCTCCATCCCTGACCCTATCCAAGCCCCTTGGCTCCCCTCCCTCTGTGCCTCAGTTTCCCCCAGGGCACCCTCCTGTCTCAATCACCACACCAGACCTGGACTCACCCACTTGACACATCTTCACTGGATCAGGCTCAGGCCATCAGAGCCTCTCGATGCCCCCAGGTCCTGCTCTGCTCTCAGCCCCTGTGTTGGCAGCCAGATCCATCAGGGGCCCCGCGTGGCCAGGTAAGACCAGGGCTGAGACCAGGACCAGGAGCTGCTCACCTGCTGCACCCCACTGCTACTCCAATTCCTGTCAGACCAGCTCCTCGGGATGAGCAAAGGGGTAACTCCACCTTCGCCTGCCTCCGCCGAGGGGAAGCACAGCCCTGTCCCCACCCCTGTGCTCCCCTTGGAGCCGTGCCGATACACCGTGTCACACTGCCTCATCCCCTTCCCCATCTACCCCTGCCATCTCCACCAACACTCAGGTTGGTTCACCCTGAAGTGATGGCAGCAGGTTGGGATCTGGCCAGACAGGTCCAAGGTCACGGGCTGAGGGTCTGGGAAGGAGCAGCCCCTCGGGATGGGATGCTGTGGGACCACGGGGCAGACACCAGCACCACCAGGTACCAGGGATGGACCTGCAGAGAGAGGGAAAAGCAGAGAGGTCAGAGCTGGTTCCAGCTTCCCAGAAGGTGACTCAGAGGAGCCAGTTTGGTGGCAATTGCCCTAAAGAAGCTTCCAGGGAAGTTACTGATGGAAAGAGACCGAGCGAGAGGGGCTGGGGACAATGACTTGCTGAGGTGGCTGTGGGAAGAGCAACCCAGCTCTGCTCACACTGGTGGTGCTCTGAGGAACCCTCCCTTGCTCATGGGAGATCCTTGCTAAGCTCGTCACAGACATGAGGCACCAACAATTTAATTACAGGGACAGCAACAGGGCCCTGGCTCCTGGGACTGGTCTGGGAAGGGTTTGGTCCAGGCAGAAGCTCAAAGACCCTTGTCCCTATTATCCCACCAGCCCAGCCCTCAGATCCCTCCCACGCAGCAGTGCAGGGAACTGGGCGCTGTGCACCACTGGTCCCCATCCTTCCCATCTCTTAACCTCTACACGGCCCAGCTGCACAGGACAGGGGAGAAGAGGGACCTCCTTCTCTGACAGCTTCAGGACAAAGCAGGTCCAGTCACTGCAGCTGTGCAGGGCCCATGCTCCGTCCCCATCGCCGCTGCAGACAGAACAAGGCTGTCACAGCACACGTTCTAGAGGCAGAAGAGGAGATGCTCCCATTTTCCTCACGCCTTGGGCCAGGGCAGTGTTTACAAACGCTTGAGCAAAGGGCAAAGGCAGCCAGAGGATTTCACCAAACATCTTTGGAAAGGATGAGCTGGATGCGAGTCGAATGACAACCAGAGTCTTTATTCCAACAGTCCTTGAGGACGTTTGCAGACATACAGACACACGTACATATTTACACTCTTGACACACCTCACAGAGCTTGAACCAATAAATTAAAACAAAAAGAGGGGAGGGGACTCTTTTTTTTTTCTTTTTCTTTTTCCTTTTTCTTTTTTTTAATCACATAAGAAACAGCAACTCCCCGAGGTGAGGCTGTGGGGAACCAGCTGGAGAATCGCAAACAGAAGCCAACACAGACACAACCCTGCCCCAAACGATGCAATGACAGCGAGTGTGCTTTTC